TTTATATGGGAACTTGAGCTTTTTAACTCTTTTTGGATGAGTTAAATCTTGCAGCGCTTCAAACCATCAAACCAGATTCCTGGGAATGGAGATATGATAAGTCTAAGATGTTCACTATTAGATCTGCTTACTCTATTCTCACCAGCCATTGCCTTGTACCTGCTACTCCTTATAATGATTCGTTCCTTCTTTGGAAATCTAGAGCCATGTTGAATGTTCTTTCTTTTGCTTGGTGACTCTTCCAAAACAGAATTCCAACAAAAGATGCACTTCTTAGGTGGAGATTCTCTTCTTCCGACGGTGGAGGTATTTTGTGTTCGTTTCGTAATGAGCATCTGGAATCCACTGATCACTTTTTTCCTCTTGTAGTCTTTCTTACTTGGTTTGGCAAATGATTTATAAATGGTTGGAAATCACTGTGGTTCTACCCAACACTCATTCTCATCACTTATCTTACCACCTTGGATTGGTAAAAGATACGAAGTCTTGGAAATTTTGGAGTGTTATCTAGTTCACTACTATTTTGGCGATTTGGCTCTCTTGAAATGACTTTATCTTCAACAAATAAAGTCAAGCCTTCTTTATTTCATATTCTAGACTCTGCAAATGTGAAGTCGTGACTTTGGATTAAGAGTCAGAGAGGATTGAAATCTACTCTTTATTCTGATTGGCTTTGTCACCCTCTAGAGTTTCTTTCTATTGTGATGTAATTATTTTCGTTATTGTTGTTTTCTTGTTCCATAATCTATAATCGTTTCTTTATTAATAAAATTTATTTTGCTTCCAAAAAAAAATAATAAACACTTTTGGAATTAGGATGCTTAAAACACAACGAGAGATCTTCTTTTATCAGTCATGTGAGTCATTAATATATTTATAAATATGTTATATATATATATAAGTTATATGTATTACTGCAAGCAACATAAAATTAGTGTTTCGTTCATTTGATGGCTAGGGTGGATTTTACATTTCTTACAAATGCAGAATAAGTTATTTCTGCAATAAATATTTATTTTTTCTATAACACTGTATCTCCTCCAAATAGACATTATCCATGGTTGAAACTTGAAAGCATAAAAGAACAAAATCACACCGTAAAAACTTTCATTTCCGTGTGAACACAAACAAACCAACCCACTTGCTCCGTACGCTACAAATGAACACAATCTGGATATCAAACTGATATAACTGGTGTCTGCCTCTCGTGAATGGACCTCACAATAACACCTCTCATCTTCTCTTCCTTTATTTATTAATCTTGTTCATTTTTATTGACGTGTTGACAGACTCTGTCATACCTGTAAAACTGCTTTCCTATTATTTGTAATATGTAATCTATATGCAATAAAGAATTGAAGTGCAAAACTCTATTACAGTTGAACACAATTGTATATGCATTCATTCATTAAAACTATTGAACAATTATCGCAATCAAATATATTCAAGTGTAATTTATAATTGAAATATGGTTTTGGGTTATAGAGGAGCTACTATGAAGGGCCAAATAGGGAAAAACAAATTATTCCCCGTTAGTGGTTACAATTAAAAGGTGGTTCAGGGTTATAAAATTGTAGTTATCATGAAGGCTGATATAAACAAATACAAATTATTTTATATTGGTAGTTAAAACATATTTTCCCTTTATATATATTAGTATAGATTGGTAATTATTATCTACATTTTTTTCCCTTTTTTCACTAATATCTTTTCACAATTTTTCAGTTAAGGTATAGAATCATGGTCCTGTAAATAAATACATGTGTATAAAAACGTGGAGTTGCTGAATAAGTAAGTATGGATGGAGGTCTGAATAAGGTAGTACAAATCACGTCTCAAATCAATAAAAACATGTTATATCGATTCATAAAATTTAATATTCATTATTTTTTATATTTTCCCTTCATTATATTTATATATGATTTAGAATATGAGATGGAGGATCCACTGGGGAGAGGGGGTGACCTACCATGCGGTAACCAGCACATTAACATCCAAGCACGCACGTGACCATGATGTGATGATAATATGTTATGTTATCCTTTTGTGTTTCTTAAATGTTATGATACCATACAATAATACAAAACCCGATCGCCAATAAACTAGTGTGTGTACTGTATGCAATCATGTCTTATCCAACTTCATTCATTGTGTTCACAGAACATTTTATGGTCCTTCTGTATATGGTGGTTGGAGTTGTAGGAGTCTTAGGATTAAGATCTGCTGGAATTATTTTAAATGGTCCATTAATTTACAATTTGATGGTAATTTATTGTAATTAATACTTTATATTATTATTTCATACCACAACATATTTTTTGAAGGCTAAGGTAGATTAAAAAGTATTGTAAGGGATCAAAATTTTGATTATGTAACTCCCTTTGGATTTGGACTTTTTCAAGTTTTGTGAAAATGTTCTCAAACAGGGAATGTCGTGATATAACTTAATTACTTCAAATTATATACCTTTAAATTCAAGTTTAATTTGCGGAAATTGTTTCAGGCTTAAAAGAAAAGTATAGAACAAATAGTAGGTAGGTAGTGCTCATGTATGTATTCATATTCCACATCATGATTATTTATTTATTATTGGGAAATTTAATGATTTGTATTGGTGACTACATCTAAACCATTAAATTTTCCAAAATTGGATGGCTAAGATGTGGAGTAAGTCTTGTTGTTGGTACATCTCAGATGGTAAAATGCAGATAACAGTGGCCGCATTTTTAATTTAGAGCAAATATTTGGCATTAAAAACTCAACAACCTTGTAGCAAAGTACATCTTCATTTATAAAAGAAGCTAGTTGTAGATGTATAGAGAGCGGGTTGAGATTCTCTCAAGTACTGGACTGTCCAGTACTAAATTGTGAGACCCAGAATCATTTGAAATCTTAAAAAAATATTTTAATTAAAAATAACTTAAAATCTAGACCATTAAAAAGTTTCAAATGACACATGTCATCATCTCTGCATGTACTGGAGGGTCTAGTACAGCAGATGATCCATTTCCATTGAGAGCATAGCTGGAATAGGTCCCGATGGATAAGGATATTAGGGAGAGTCAAATACATGTTTCTTACTTTATTTTTAATAGTAAAATTGTAATTTCATTATAATTAAAAAAAAATTTATTCTTGAAAATCATATTTTCCTTTATTTTTTAAAGCATTTATTTCTCCAGCGGTTATTCATAACTCATCCATAATATATACTCATATAATAGAAGTGGAAAAATAGACAGGCACTCTATATGGAAACAATCTTCAACTGAGCTACCTCTTTTTAATTTTTATCCCTTTCCTTGAATTAGGAGTTTAAAAAAAGATGAAAAAAATCTATACATAATTAGGATCATTCACCATTTATTTGTATTACTTTTATTTAAGAATCAATGATGATTAAAAATGAATGATGAGTAATGTAGTAACAATTAAAAAAACTTTTATATATTCTTCTCTTACAAAAATGCTCAATTGAGATCTTCTATCGTATCTTTATATGCCTACAAATATGTATCAAATAAATGTTAAATTAATTTATTAAGTTAACATAGTATTTGATTAGTAGAGAATAGAGAGATAAATTATTTTGTCATAAATTATTTTTATCCTTTCATTATTGGGCAGCCTCATATGCTACCACACTGGTTATTGTCATGATCTAGATAAATTATTCTGTCCAAATAAAACACATTTGTTTTACTCCAAAATCGTTGATTATGGCAGATTAATTTATGAGTGGAATATCTATGCACTGATATTGTAAAGATTTATATATAGTCAATGCATCATTCATAATTGATTTATATTACTTTTATTTAAAAATCAATTATGGTTGAAAATAAATGTTGAATGATACAGTGATAGTATAAAAAAACACTTAGTAGTAGCATTGTGATAGTGTAAATAAAGCAAGACATTTAGTAAGATTGGGGGACCATAAACCACCATACCTTTAAATCTAGACAGAATAAAAAAGAGATTCTTTTCACATGGTGGCATGTGAGGGGAAGGGAAAGGTTTTTCAATTTACAAACTCCATTTTTTTCCTTTTATTTGTTGCTTAAAATTTCTAGTTTTTTGTATAAAAAAAGTTCATAGTTAAGGGTGACTGTTCAATCATGAGATCAATTAATGCATATTCCTCCGTCTTTTTATAGAACCATTTTGACAACTTAGTTTAAGTTGTTTTTATAGGATTATTTTTAAATTCTGAGTGTATTCAATATTAATTTTATACAAATATCATTGTTAATTGAGTTGAAAGAGGAAAAAAGGGCATAAAATAATTAATTGAACAAAAAATAGAATTAGTCTTAATCGCGATGGTAATTTTTGAGGGGAGAAAAAGAATGCATATAAATTATGAATAAGTTCAATATTACAAAGTATATTGATTAAGATTTTAATTAACTTAAAAAGACTAAAATGATCATTAAATTTAGCTAAATGAGCATAAAGCTGAATACTTTAATATTATCACATTAATATAATAGGAACCTCCATAAACTAAGTTAATGCTATTGGCTAGTGAAATTTAGTTTTTGTATGGATTAGATTCATTTCTTATTTATCACTTTATTCTATTCATATTATTTCCCTCTCCCCGTTAATGGACATGAGAGACTTACTACTCATTCCAGTAATGAACTGTTTGGAAATGATCTCCACTTGCACTCAACTGGAAAGTAAAGCCATTTTGTGTTAAGTGATGGTTAACCCTACCCTCACCCCAAACCTAACCAACCATTCTCTTTCACACCCTCTTCTCTATAAAGCTGGTGGTAGATTCATCATTCATATTATAAATGGTAGAGTGGTCCATCAAAAAGTTTGTATCTACATACTCATAATGATCTTAATTACATCATTTCTCACCCCTCCTTTTATTTACTTTCCTCATCTTTGCCTATATTTCTACCCACCTTCTCTTTTCTAACTATATAAACACAACTGGGTTGGGATGTTAGATCTATGGCTCAATTTTCTGCTCAAGCCCTGGTCATACTTTTCCACAGCTTTCTTGAACTTCTTATGCATTTTATAGTTCTCCATGTTCTGAATTTAAAGCCCTAGAAGCTCAAGAAAGCTGTGGGAGAATATGGCAAGGTAGGCTTTGTAGTTCCTACTCCTCTTGCAGATGCAGAACGCATGGTTGATCCTTATCCTTTCATCTCAATATATCACGGTAAATCTCACTATCATAACTATGATCTCTTTCACTACAATTATTTCTTGTATAATTCTATGACATACTGCCTTTCTTTAATTATTGTTTTGCTACCAAGTTCTGTAATTGGATCCAGTGAAATTGTTTTCTCTCTGTTTTCTTGAAGGGAAGAAGGGAAATACTCACTTTACACGAATTCAACACTCCTGTTTTCAGCCACAAAAGGTAATTCTAAGACAACTCTTTTTCTCTGGGTCCAGGGTGGTGAACAATGACAATGTATGTTTTTTAAACAAAAAGAAGAAGAAGAAGAAGAAGAAGAAGAAAAAACACATGATGAAGAACAAATTTAATAATACACAGGAGTTTGTTAAATCTGATGCTACACGAACGTTTGAGCCATGCAAGTTGAAGGATAGCATAAAATTGCAAATTAAATTATTTTTTTAATATAAAAAGGAACAAAATATAATGTTTCCTAGTTGTGTTTAGAATTAGGTGCACTTTCCCATTTACTACAAAACTGATTCATTGAATGAAACGGTGAAAAAAGTGTAAATGTTTGCAGAGAAGGTTCCTTTTTATCATTAATAATAATAGTTCTTCATGTTGCCCTTTTGGTTAGGTGAATTCACATCTTCTCCTACATTTCTGTGAAAAAGGTTAACCTCTGTCACTGCATGACATCATTTTTGAACCACTCCTCTCTTTCCTGACATCATTTGGCCTATTGATTGATTCATTGTAACCCCCCTCTCTCATCTCTGTCTCTTTCTCTGTAGAAAGTCATGTTGGCGCTGAAATCTTGGGTAATTTATGATACTTGTTCTCTTGTGTTGTTCACTTGTCACTAGATTTTCAACCGTATTACAGTTTTACACATCACACATATACTAAATTACTAACTGCATTCTTGTGCACAGCTAAATATATAATAGTAAATAAAACCAATTTAGAATACAGGTCTGAAATCAACAGAATTTTCACCTAAACACATTAAACTTTTCTGTGTAGTAGCTAGAAAATCATTTGCATTAGTGAAGCAAGAAAGTCATGAAGATAGTGATAAGAGATAAAGTTTAGAAACAGAAAATAAAAAAAGAGAACCTTTACCAAGTAGAAGGGATAAAGTTTTAGCCAAAGGGAATGCAACAAGTTGTACACATAAGAGTAGGACCACCTAAATTCAGATTTAATCAGCAGGCAGACACAGAGGCATGGTACTTCTCTGCTTCTTTCTACAAAGAAAATACATGATCAAATATATTCACCATGTCATTATTAATTGGTTATGCACAAATTTATATATAGATAAGCTTCACATGAAAAAAAATTAAGACACTAACTGTGTGCATTGTGAAACCTTCAATGACATGAACTGAATCCTGGGCCAAATTTCTACTAATGATTTTTATTAATGTTACCACTTTTTGATTAAATTGTGACACAAATTAAATATTAGTACGGATGATGTCCATGAACTATGCATTACTTTTGAGCATTGACATCACTGTGGAATAAATATTATAATATTATATATACAGAGGAAGGAAGAAAGGGTAAACAGGAACATTTCAGTTGCCATGCAGTGTAACTTGCTCTCGTGATCTTTCTTACCATTTTTACTATATTAACCTAAAATCCACTTAGGAAACTTTTTACTCAATGCAACATTGTCAATGTAACTTTTGTACGTACGTACCTCAACAATGGTATATGGGAATGTTCAGATTAAATTTCAAGAATCTACATAAAAAGATTTCAATGGTAATTAGAAGCCCAAAATACTATTTTTACTGCGTTTCTATCAATTATTAAGTCACTAAGAATAATAACATTTCTTATTTGTCTTTTCTCTCTGTAATATAACCTTTCTTTATTCCTGTCCGTAGGAATAATAAATGTTTTTAAAACAAAGCCATTCACCTCGTCTACATATTGAAACTCAAATCCAGTACACTAGTGAAGTGGTCAACCTCTCTAAAATATAACCTTTCTTTGTTAGTCATAAGGTGGTTAGGGATGAAGATCAACTGTCTCAACTTGGTGTCATCAAACTTCTCTCGCGCAATCATATACTGCCATATAAAGGAAATGAAATGTCACATATGAGTGAGTATTTTTTTACTGTTATGGTGTGCTAAAAATTTAAGTGACGTGCCAATATATTATTGGACGGAACATGATTTGAGACACCAAATTTGGATAGGTGATATTCATTCGGTGGTTAAGGTGAAGAAGGTTTTAAGTTCAAGTTTCATCTCTAACAAATTAAAAAAAATCATTACATGGACCAGTGGTTAGGATAAAAGGTTTAAGGAAATAAAACAAAGAAGGGTGGTGATTCGAGTCTCATCCACAACAAAATACTAATATACTAAAATTTACCTATAAAAAATAAAAATAAAAATAGCTTACTATTGAAACTCCAATCCACTAAACTAGAATAACAATTGTCATTACTTCCTATAAAAATAAAAATAAAGATGTAGTTATAATTAGTTGTAATAAAAAAATCATTGCCTTTGATTTCTACTTTATCTCCAAAGATGTCTTCATCTTTACCATATGGGCCTTGTGTGGAATGTTAGAATCGAAAAGGAGTAAGTATAAGAATTTGAAGCGGTTCTCTCCTACTTAAACAAATTATGCAAAATAAAAATTCAGTAAAGAATGGTCAGCAAGACATATTTCCAACTGGAGTGTTCGATCTCAAATTAAACCTGAAAGTGATTTAAAAACCCGAAAACGAATCTAAACTTCAACTTTTTAATCATTTTTATATATAATGAAATAACACATTTGTTATTAAAAATATAAGGAAAATGAATTAATGGAGGATCCTTCTGCAGTAATAGTAATTTAAGTAGAATGTCGGCAGGATCCGGTGAAAGATGATTGAAGAAAAATGAATTCAATATATATTTGCAATGTCATAAGAATAAATGAGTAATGAAATGACAAGAACACTACATGGCACATGCCAACTATCAATGGTAGGGTAATAAGGTATTAACGTAAGTTACACGGTGATGAACCAGCCAGCCATACAAAGAGCCCAATGAAAATAATAACTCACCTTTCTCCATTTCTGATGTTGACCCATTATGAGAAAGAATTTGTACTTGGGGACAAAGAACAATCATGGTGATCATGTTCAAGTAAAACATTCAAAATGAGCATTATACATTTATACCTCCCCCAATATGTCTGCATTTTTTGCGGTGCATGGTAGTAAGTGTATTTTAGGCGGAGTTGCCAACAAAAATAGCAAGTAATAGAATGAATTTTTTTTTGGATATTTTTGCAATTATTTATATCTATAAAATATGACAAGAATTTAGAGTGCAAGATAGATTGATAGTGACTGAATATAAAAGCAGAAAAGTATATACACAATTAATAAATACTGGAAACATGAAGATGGTCGTGCTATACGCTTTTCACCAATTACTATTGAACACTCTTCAAGAGAACTAGATCGATCAATGCAATGCCATAAGGTAAATGTTCATCAAGGGGTACAAAAATTTTATTTTTAATTGATAGTTTTAGCCACGAGACAAAATGTCACTGGTAAGACAGCAAGATCGAGAGGATTGTCTAAGAATTTATTGTCTCTTTGTCGTTTAACTTTTTTCACCGATCTTAGACTCTTGCGCATACATCACATAGCACAAGAAAATCTAACTTTTAAGTTCCCCCTTTCTCCATAGGAAAACAAAACTACTGAAATACACTTCAATCAGATAAAGAAATCACACACTCTACATTTTAAAGTAAAGAAGGGTTATAATCACGATATGAATATAATAAAGAGATAATAGATCCAAAACAAGGAAAAGCAGGAACATCAAGTTCAATCAATTTTAAAGTTTTCATAGCAACACGGAAAAAATTAAAACAAAGCCATAAAATGAGCAACAAACAAGAACATGCATGTTAGATTAGTGGGTTACAGTAGGATTAGGATATTGATCTCTGCAAATAAAGTAGCATGCTCATAAGACTTTTGCCTTATCTTTTCAAAAATAAAAATAAAAGAATGACCTTATTTATTGGATGGACTCATAATGCCCGTGAATGCACCATTTGAAAGACCTTGTAAAGTTGATGGATCTGAAAGCACACCATTCTGTCGGATCTAATCTTCATATAAAACAAAATGAAGAAAATAACAATCTGGAATGTTATTGATAGTGGAGTCCAATGCATTTGGTGGATGACCGAGTCTTAGATATGATGTCATTGGTTCAATCTTTATTGTATGTATGGAAAATGATATGTTAGTAGAGGCAAGATTCACTTCTGTAATTTTTACATCTCAAAAAGGGATTAGTATTTGGTGGTGGGGTAAGCGTGATATATCCTTAGTGCAAAAAAAGAAGATGCTTTTACTGTTTTCAAATTTCGTATGCTTTCAGGATAAACAAAATAGGAGACTTATTCAAACTGCATATTCTCAGCACTAGGAATGTAAATGAAAGCATCTGTACTAGCAGGTGGTCTAAAACTCCCATTTCTTGCAACATGGTTGTCTCTAACTTAATTGGGAAAAAGGAAAACCCTAGTTTCCTTCACACACATGCATCTATGCATTGATTTTAGGTATCTTTCTATCTTCTGCGGAAAAAATCACAGCAGTACAGCTCTGGATTCATTTTTAATTTTTGAAGGGGGGTTGTTCCTTATGGTTAATCTTTTCTGATAAAAGCTTCACCTAACCTCTTACTAGGGGTCACCAACCAATGGCTTTAAAAGCTTCCATAAGTTGGTGGAAGCTCAAAACAAGATATAAAGGTAGTATGGTCACCCCTGCGTGGTCCATTGTCTAGCAATATCTGTAACTCTAATTTCTCATTCTAATTAGTTCATGTCAATGTTTTAAATTATGATCGTAATTACGTTGATTTCAATGAAATTGCAAAGAATGGTGGGAAAATACAGCAAAAATGTAGTTAAGGATATTACCAAAGCTATTGTGAGTGTGGATGCATTTTAAGAAACAGGTTCATTGCATCCAAAACAAACAAAGCCTTTGTTATTCTGACTAAAATATTTTGATCTAGCGACAGCTAGGATGGATCTGGATATAGTACCCTTTAAATTTTTGTTGTGTAAAGTAAGATAAGAGAGGTATAATTGTTCCTATCTTGCAAATAATTAATCATCCAGTAATTGTGATTATTTATATTAGACACTATGATGTTTATACGCCGAATCTGCAAGCTGGAGCACATATTTAATTACTGAACCATCTGTAACTTTGCCCATTAAACAGTACAAGTTCAGATCAAAGTATTCTAATGAAGTTAGTGCGACAAATGTGCTATATAGAAATCTCAATGATAACCTTTGAATTTGATCCACTCTAATTAAGTTGTAACTTTTGCCTGCATTAGTGGGTATACATCAGACATTTAAGAAACAAATGAAAAAATCTAACTATTGAAAGAATTTTTTCTAAAATAAATATATAACTATGTGTCTGTATGATGCATCACAAAAATGTTCATATGCAAATTAATCTCCATCTCTACATATATGACTATAGTAGAGGAACGAAGGACGATGCCTTAGACGAATGCATTAACCATCAAATAAATCAGATATGATTAGTACCAAGAGAAACAAATTAAATTATATATAGGAAGATCTGAAAGGAAACTTCTATGTTATTCATGATAGTTTCGGATCTATCCAAATTTGGACCTGAAATTCCCTTGATTTGGTATTGAATCATTACCTGATCAGTCCATAAGGCGAGACAATTTGCTTGGTGAATCATACATCATCACCGCCAACATAATTCTACCCAATTGCTAGAGTTCAATCTTTGACTACTGCTTCTGAGAATTCATCAGATACTATCTCAAAAGTCAATGAAATGACATAAATTATATCAAAATAGCATCAATAAAAAAATTAGAAAGAAGAAAATATTTATATCGCAATAATTGGATGCAAAACTTTAGAGAAGAATCCAGTGTTGGAAGATAGAATTTGTGGTTGACTCTATCTGTATTTTCCCACAGCTTTATTGAACCGCAAAACAAGGTATGGGAGCAAGATGCCATGGCCTGCATGCAAAGAAACCTTTTAAATGCTGCAGTTCAAGAAAGCTGTGGAAGAATACAAAGAGGGCCATGATGTATTGAAAACTGAAAATGCCCCACGACAGAACCATCTAATAATAAGAATAAGGCCATGAAACTTCTGAAAAAAATCAGAACCCTAATGAAGGACTAAGAGAAGGATGTGTAGAATATGAGAGGCTAAGAAAGGGAAATGTTGCAGGTGTAGGGGTATAGAAGGAGTGTATTTATAGAAAAACTTAAGGGTTTTGATTAATTTTCTTTTTAATTTAATTTTTTCCATCAATCCCTAGAAGAATATTGGGCTTAAGACTACAGTTTACTGAACACTGCTTTTTCTGGAACCCTAATTAAAAAGCTGAGAACGTGTGATCCCATTAGGCATTAGAGACTAGAGCACGAAAATTAATATGATAATAGTGAATGAAGAACCTAATAATAAAAATTATAATTTCATCGTAATTAAAAAAAGATACATGTCATTAAAAATTACATTTATTTTGTTTTTAATATGAAATATTTATGCGTCTATGATGAACCTTTCCGGATCTAAAGGTGGCGGTTACCATTTGTGGGGGGCACACTATGGGCCAAAACTTCAGATCTGTCTTCTTCTTTCAACCAAAAGTCTGCACTCTACGCGCTCCTCAATCAGTACTATATCACTCACTATATTCACTGTTCTTTTTCAATACGTTAAATACATTGAAGAATCTTTATAATTAAGAACTAGCAATGTTTTCAATAGGTTAAATACTTATTTTGTCTTTTTAAATAATATTATAAAACATTTATTAACATTTCCTAAGTTAATTTTTATTCCACAATCTTAATAAAAAAACCATTTTTCATCCCAAGTCAAAATAAAAAAAAACAACAACAACAACAATAGATCTTGTTGAAAATTTGCTGTCAAATATTGAATTTATTATTAGTATGGTAGGTAGACATTTCTAGTTCTTCCAACCTGACTCACATTTCCTACCACCATGTATTCAATAAAAAGTTTTGTTAAAAAAAATAAAAAATCTTGAAAATTGTATACTATATTATGATTGAGTATAGAAGGAAAAAGAATATTTTATCCTTAACAATGAAAAAGAGGATAAGTAACTTTCATGGGTATATATAGTTTCCTTAATAATGAAAATTGTATACTCTCTTATGACAAAATTTGTGACAACATATTTTTGTTACAAAGTAAAAATGTCTAACCACAGGAACTTTTATTACTTCATGGGTAGATATAATCTTCAAGCGGCAATTGCAAATGATTTTAAGCGGTAACATACAATCTATTTAAGCGACAATGGAATTTGACAATTTGATGTCAAGTGGCTTGTGTTCATTGTCCATTTATGTTAAGTGCCAAAAGAATTTGCAATTGAAAATTTTGAATCAAATGTCGAAATATCATTTAGCTCAACAGCATAAATTATTTGGTGGGGTCGTATGTATTTTTTTAATTGATGGAAGATATTTATTAACTGTAATAATGATATGAAAATTCGTGTAGTATTTATTTGTATTAATGAGTAAGTATATACCACACTAACTCTTATTTTTTTTACTTTGTTTTTAATTTTTACAAAGATATTAGGATAGATGGGGTTATAAAAAGTTATATTATTGAGTAAGAATAAAATTGCAGAAAAACTTAGGCATGATTGATCTTTAATTAAGTACTTCGAGTTAAGATGAGGTGAGTAGGATTGATCTCAAACATCATCTTTACCTTCTTTCCTCGTATTTTAAGTATTAATATGATTCTTTTTTGTCCCTTCTAGTTAATATGGTATTATATACCTTTGGAAGAATTATGATAGATGGCATCGTGACACCCGATACCAAAAAGCCAATATTTTATATAGAACTTTAAGTTTTTCATATTAAAATCCTCTTGATACCGATTATATCATCTTTAACTTAATGTGCCAGATAGGTTCCACTCAAGTACATGTGATGTTGAAGTGACTGAATGGAGATCACAGGTTGTTGATTACGTCTCATTTTCTATCTCAAATCAATTGTATATTGCCACATAAATAAAATAAATTTTTTAAAAACAAAAATTCTAATTGATTTATATAAGACAGATGATCTTTAGGGTGTTCAAAATTTCCCAGAGGAGAAAAGTAACAGATGCAGGAAATGCGAGTGGTAAAGTAAGAATCCTCAAAGGTAGGGGAAATAAGGCAGAAAACGAGGAACATGAATATTGGGATAACATGGTTGAACGTGAGAAAGGACCCCACAATGTATGTATGAATTGGTGTCTTCTTCCTAATCCTCTACCTCTCATCTCAAAACAACAGCAAGAATTTAAAAAAGAGAAAACAGAGAGTGGTTTGAGTTCAGCATATGTTGGTACCAAATTCAGCATTTTAATTCATCTACTTTGTTTGTTTGTGATATCGTACTATTTCCCGCTTTTCCCGCTCAGGAGGTCGTTTTGTCGCTCATCTCTCTCACTCTCTCACAATCACCATATACCACACTATCTTTTAATTGGGTTTTCTGAATCTTTTATTTTCAGTGAAGAATAAAAAGTAAAGATAAATAAGTCCACTAACTCTTCAAATCTTAAATCTTTAGTTCTTTTTAATTCAATTATTTTCTAAAATCAAATGGGAAGTGATCTTGTCCGTGTTAGATTTATATGTTTAATATATAATCATTTATATAGAACAATATTTCTCCATTTTTTGGACGATATATTGGAGTGTTGTTTTTTTTATGCTTTTTTAATTTTAAGTGGATTATTCAGTTGGATTCCTGGATTATTTGTATAATATGTTTTAACTCGTCTTTCAGTTAAGACTGATCATCATATTATACATTGTAATGCTAGCTCAACAATTTGTAGCAGTAAGAACAGTAAATTCTGATTACACTCTTGCATATCTGGTGGGCTTGTTTTGAGTGGTTTGGTGCGGCGAAGGCAGTGATGGTAGGGATGATTGCGGGGAGAGGGAGAATGTTGGTGATAAAAAAAAATGGAAGAGGGGTATGTAGCTGAATGTAGAGAAAGATATAGGTTTTTTTGTGTGTGTGGCTTTTGGCTTTGGTGTTCATTTACATCATAGATGGTAGTGACTCTTTTATGGGTTATTATGTGATGAGTATTGGTTGTTTGTGTGACACTAGCATTGTAGTAATAGGGTTGGGAGCTTGATAATTGAAGCAGATACTCTGGAATGTTATGTACCCATAATTATTGGGAGATGATGAAATAAGGAGATGGTGAAATGATAAAATGGATCCATTTTGGTCTACTTCTTTTGGGGGTCCCTTAGGTCTACATTTGGTCTTTATGTAACAAATTACAAGCAATCATGGGAATGAGAGGAGCCTCCCAAAATGCCTTCTTCAACTAGGTCTATAATGGTTCTTTTTTTAGATGAGAGAGATTGAAAATTGAAAAAATATCATTTTTTGAAAAAATATATTAGTTTGTGCAAAATTGGGTGTTCATAATCCCTAAGTTATGATTCTTTTTCTTACGAATTTTCTCCGTCTCTATGGAACTTGTTAGCCTTAGTACTGAATTGTTCTTATCTTCACCTTTGTTTCATGTATCGTTAGCGAAGAAGTAATGTCACTTGTCGCCCGTGATGACGAACTCGAGCGATGTTTCCACCAATCTCTACGCCTTCTTGAGTAACCTCCTGATAAAACATGTGCTACATGCACAAATCAAAATACTCAAAAGTCTCCAAAAGTTTATTTTTTATGTCATAACCGGAAAGTGTTAAATGATTCTCATGGACTATGGTGAATGTATCCCTACTCTAACTAATTAAGCAATTTATATGTTATAATATAACATTTTTAAGTCTTCTATATCATTTACACTTAAGACTAATTTGACAATTTAGTTTAACCAAACACCTTCACTTCAATAGGTTGGTTTATGATCCTTAGCCTTCAATTATTATATTTTAAATAATCAAGGGACTTTTCAATCAATCGTACTAAACAACACCCATATAGTTAAACCTTACAATTTTGATGTGTGAACCTCCACTCGATCAAAAATATTTCTAAATCAAGTTTTCAAGTATAACAACAATCATAAAAACCTTGCCAAATATCGTTCTCTTTTTGGCCATGAATTCTCAATATCAATCCCTATTAACTACTCTCATCTGATTTCAAATAAGCAAAGTTTAGGCACAAATTTTTTCCTGCAAATAATATTAAGAAACCATATATGGAATTATGGATGCACCCAAAGAATATTTACCTAAAGAAAAAATAATAATAATTATGAAAAAAAAACTCTCTATCTGTTGAGCATTTTCTTTGTATCTGATCTGCCCAAATCGGCCAGTAGGTTTTCACTTTCACACTCTTCCTTTCTCTATCCGAACAACCAAAATCAGAAGCAAAGGGGTTTCGTTCAATTTTCTCAGCTATAGGTTTCACTAACTTCTCATCTCACTTCAATTTCAATTGCAATTCAGATACATTCTACTTCTCTTTTCTCAAATTTAGGGCTCCTTTTTCTGTTCCCCCAAACCCCTCACAATTCGATTTCTATTCTGATTACTCGATCTCAGCATGGAAAACCGAGATTCATCAACGTCTTCTCCGTCTTCATCCGCTAACCGCGATGCTTCTTTCGCCACAGACAACGACGATGGCGTTTTCGCAGTCACAGTCGCGCTGGCCAAAGACGCTGCGTTGCATTTCCAGTCAGGAAAGTTTGCCGAATGCGTCGAAGTATTGATTCAGCTGTTGCAGAAGAAGCAGAACGATCCCAAGGTTATTTTCCCCTTTCCATTTTTCTGTTGATGCTGATCATTCCAATGATCGATGCTTCTTGGTCTTGATTGTTCTTTGCTTTTCCCGTTTCCACGCTTGATGTTTGTGTTGATAGTACTTATTGTGATACTTCAGGTAATGGGTTTGTTGGTTTGGTTTTGTATTTTTAATAAGTGGAATTAAATTTGTGTATCTTTCCAGAACTATAGCTAGTAAGCAATTTGCATTTGTAACTTCTTTGGCTATAAATGCTAATGTGCACTGGTTCAAGTGGTTTT